TTATTTTTTAACGTTTATTTTTGAGAGAGAGAGAGAGAGAGAGACAGAGCACACGAAGGGGAGGGGCAGAGAGAGAGACACAGGCTTTGTCAGCACAGAGCCTAACGCGGCCCTCGATCCCACGAACCGTGAGATCATGACCTGAGCCGGAGTCGGACGCTCAGCCAACTGAGCCACCCAGGTGCCACCCCCATGCTTTTTTTAAAGAGAAAACCTAACGCATTGCGACACGAAAGGCCAAATGGAGTAAAAGAATATTTGCCATCACCTAAAGAAAGCTGGTGGAGAAATTTCAGAATCAGAAGAACAGATTTTAAGACAAGTCGCTCAGAAGCTGATAAGTTGGCCCTACAATAACCACAATTTTGAAAAAGGAGAATAAGCGAGAACTCGGAACATGCTAGACAGCTGTACTAATGAAAACTGCAAGGCAGCAGCACAGGGCAGACACATGGGCCGGTGAAAACCCCCGGGGAATGTGAAGGAATCGGACACAGGACAGCAAGGCAGGAGCACGGGGTGGAGAGAAAGAACATGGCAGAGAATAAGTGACTCTCAGCGTGGGGTAGGCAGGAATTCAAAATCATATCAGTCCCTTCCCTCCCTCTATATGCAAAATTATACGTCAAGCACACAACTAAAAAATGTGAAAAACGAGACTTGAAAATATTACAAAGCACAGAACAATGCCTTTTATTTTTCTCCAAGTTTTTATTTAAATCCCAGTGGGTTAACACACAGTGTTAATATTAGTTTCAGGTGTACAATTTAGTGATTCGTCATTTCCACACAACACCGCGAGCTACTTCAAGTCAGAAAGGGCTTTCTTAAATTTCTTAAACACATATAAATCATAAAGGAAAAAATGGGTAATTTTGACCCCAGTAAAATTAAAGCCAGCACAACAAAGTTAAAAGGTAAGCCAGCCTAGAGAAGATATGTACAGTGGCAAAGGTTTAAGTTTCTGAATATATAAAGAACTCCTGTTAAAAGGACAAAAGATCCAGTTGGGGAGGCAAAGGCTATAAACTGGTAACACAGAGAGGAGGAAACCGTGTTGGATAAAAAACAAATGAAAAGATGCTCATGGTCTCTGTTCTGTTCAGTATTAAACAAACTAAATCAAAAGACAGGATCAGGCAGAGCCAATCAACCTGATTGTCTGACGATGGCAAGTGTGTGTGAGGGGGAGGGGAGACAGGACTCTCACCGCTGATAGGGAGTAAGCTGGTACAACTATTGGCGTGACTAATAACATCTAGTGGAGTTGAAGATGCATGTTCCCCTTCAAATGTGTACACGAAGAAACCTACACAAGGATGTTCTTTTTGTAACACTAAAAAGACCACCCTCAATGGCCACCGATAGGAGAAATGAATTAATCATGGGATTAATCATACAACGAATACTACACGTATCGACCAGCTATGCACGTATCAACATGTTAAACGTGAAAACATAATGCTGAGTAAGACGTCTCAAAGGGACATGTATCACGAAACCAACTGCGTTTAGTTTAAAACACGGAGGATACGACACACTGCAAATCATGAAGGGTCCAGCTCTGCAC